ACGTTAAGGTGTCAAGGCAAGGCCAAGTTTCAATTAGTGTTGCAAAACTTAATTAAGCCATAATGGCCGCAGCTATTCCGCACTTTTGTCAAGCCATTGCATAAATAACAAGGACAGTTAAAAGGAAAAACTAAGCTAAAACAATGGGCCAGGAAAAACAATTACAGACGCTTTGAATACCTTCATATGGGATTTAAGAGTACCTGTTCCAAAAAGAGTAACGCATCTCAAGTTAAAAAAAAAAATATAACAAATCTGTTATGATCTACATAAAATATTAACATTCTATGAATTATAAAAAATTAATTTAAATTATAAAAAAATAATTTAAAATTTAAAAAAAGATGCCCTAACTCAGAATTTTACTTATATTATATTTTAGAATACCCTACAGAGGGTGATAGTCATTCCAATATAACCATCAAATAAAGGCGTATTTTAACAAGATTATATTTAACAGAGAAATGACCAAGTTATGCCTGGAACTTGGCTTCCTTTCACACGGTATTACCCCATCAATCCAGGCAATAGATGAATGGTCAGCTGACTGACTGGATGAGCAAGTGAATGGTGGCTGGGTGACCGAATGGATGGGTGAGTGAATGGCGGTGGACAACCCATGGTCTCAACTGCATTTGCATCTGCATCTTGGTGTTGGCGTTGGCGTCTCCTATTGTTAAATGCATGAAAAATTGCTGACACGGCGGCGGAATCCTTCAAGGTGCCGTAACTCATACGCCGCGTTGCCCGGCGATTTATGGCCAACGACTGCGAATGAACAAAGCCAGTAAAACAGTCCATCTCCGTGCTTACTTTGCCCCTCACAATCACCAAAATGCACTTTAATAATAACGAGTACCCTTAAAAAAGATAAAATTCAGCAGCATCTTAAATAACATATCCATAACTCCGTCAGTTAACTAAAATGTGTACCTTTATTATTGAGAAACGTGGGTTCTTGCACTATTAAATTTGATTTTATTATAATTATCCTGTCTAGGTATAACTATAAAATAAGAGAGTAGGATTTTATGACATTTATTTATGTTCCTTACTTATGCAAAACTACAATTTTAAAGGAATATGCTTTGTAACTTTTTGTTTCTTTTTATAAATTGCAGATCTTTTCCATTAAATAAATAACAACTGAAGCAAGATTTTTATGAAATAATTTTTTTAATTTAGTTCATTTGCCTCGCAAATAAAATAAGTTACACTTTGGCAATCGTTTTGACCAGGGTTTCCAGAAGTTCTGCCTTTTTTTCAGAAAGGTTTAATTTATGGATTCCGTCTTGGTTTCCAGAGCCTACAATCTCCCCTCCAGACTTCCTGTTGTAGAAGTCCTTGACCAGAATTCCCCAGAATCAGCCAGTGATCCTTGTAAAAATAATAAACAGATTGCAAACATGAGCATTTTTAATAATTATGACTACTTAAGAGGAACGTTTCTTATACACTGAAATGTTTTATTTGTTAAAGAAGCCAAGAAAACCATAACCAAAATAATAAAAACATTTATATATCGCTTAGTTTTTTGTGGTTTCTTAAATATATTTTTGTTGGCGAAAACTGTGATAGCGATTTTAGTTTTAATTCCAAAAACAAACATGAATGTGTAATTTAACGGCTATTCTTATATTTAAGATACTCTTATTTAGTTAATTTGCCATTAAAATGTGATATTAGAATTTTAAATTACCTAAATATATTTTCTCAAAGTTGTTCACTAAATTTTGTTTATTTTTTGTAAATAAGCACCTGTTTTCGTTTTAAAAATCTCTTTTGACATATTACTTTGGTGGCTATGTATTCAATTACACAGGCAGCGGTTAATGGACAGGTAAAGGAGGCGGGGGGCGTGGCAGGATGCTCAGGAGAAGGCCGCTCCATCAGCTGTGGCATCCACTTCGGTTTCCATGGTCAATCGCCTTTAATTAACCAAGCGGCCAACGAATTAATTAGCTGTAATGAGAGTCCTACACTGTACCAAAAGATTAACAAATGTGTATTTAAAGATAAAGCACTGCAAGAAAATAGGTTTACAAAATTAACTAATAGCTTTTATTACTTATAATGATATTTAAAGACGTTGAACTAATTTGTTTGCTTACACTAAAATCCAAATACACTTAAATATACTTACGTGTGCTAAATTTTTTTTAATTTAAGTATTTAAGTATTTACTCATACTGAGAAGATTCAATTAAACTTTAAACCATTGTTTCACTCATTATGTTGTTTTGAATATGTATTGTTAAACAATAAATGCCGTCGGCATTAAAAATTATGATTGTGACTGGAAACAGATAAATTTGTAAATCGCGTTTTGTAGACCCATTTTCAGTGTTTACCAAACAAGACCTCCTGGCATCCGAAACCCCATTCTTGTTGTTCAAATCAATTTGCTTGGCCTAACACGCTGTGAACTATGGCGATTTGTGTTTAATTAGCAAAATCCCCTGCTGGAGGGGGAATTATAGAATCCAGGAATCGGTTAACAGGGGGAAACGGGGGGGAACAGGGGGTAACCGGTCTGAACAGGGGAACCCACGGACCTCAATGGACACAAGTCGCCTCAGGTGGGACAAGAGCCATTTGCATTTAATGCGCCACATTTGTTCGTGCCTGTTCGCGTGGCCAACTCAATGGAAAGATGGATGCGAATAATGCGAAGGACTCATCCTGGGGATGAGGGATAATGGTTGTTGCTGGCCAGTGCCCAGGGACTATGATGTTGAAGGTTACCCATACCAGCCAATCCCTATATCTACACTCTTAAAATAATAAAGTTGAGCATCATATTTAGAGAAAAAATGGATTTAAAGCATTAAAAACAGCTTAGAGATTAAATATAATAATTATTAATCAATGTCAAATTATTTAGGATAAGTCCTATTATGTATACCCTTTAAATAAAAATGTTAGGCATAATATTTATAGAAAAAATGGAATTAAAACATAAAAAACAGGTTAGAGATTAAATATTTTATAACCACAACTATAAATAATTATTAATTGTTAATAATAATATTTATTAATTAAATATTTAAAACAGGTCCAGTTGTATAGGCCGCATAGTTCAATATGTGGGTAAATATCCTTTGAATGGGACTTTTACTCAGAAGCACCCAAATATCATGGAAAACTAGAAATGGTTTATGGTTTTTCACAAAATTTAATTTTGCTTTCCTGTGTAATTTAATCAGCAGTTACATTTTTCTATTTTTACCATACCTGTATTAATCCCCTTATCAGCTTGACTAAATTGTCCATAGTTTTCTTCCATTATGTTGTTAACTATATCCGAACCAAAGTCGTTAGAGAACAAAAGGTGAAAATCGGTTGACTACTTTTGGACTGCGTGCGGCTAAATCGTTCTTGAAAAGAAGAAATGTTGGGGGAAAATCAAGGGGTTCAACGGGCGGAAATGACTTAATAACCAATCAACTTTTGTTTTATTTATTCACAAATAAAGCGTTAAATCAGCATAATTATTATTAGGGTGGGTGCGGTGGTGAAACTCAGTTGTGGGGATTAACGTTCCGGCGACTACTATGCGGTAATTGAAGTTTTTGAATAGTAAATAAGGGGCTTGTTTAGCAAGTGCCACGCCCCCAACCGCCGAACATTCTCCGCCCCCCCCCCAATTGCTCATTGTTTTTTTGCCCACGGCTCGGCAATATATCAGAGGTCAGACTTGGCTCGCTTTTCCACGCATTTCCCCAAAACGATACCAAGAAATAAAATAAGTAAAATTAAGTGTTTAAGAATGGAATGAACTCGACCAAGGAAATACTGTGGAAAAATAAATATGCTTATAACTTTTCTGAAAGGTAAGCTACAAAATAATTAAAGTCCGAAAAGTTCCAATAAGAAATGCGTTTTCGCAGCATAGTTTTGGGAAACTTTTAAAATGGTTTTAAGGCTTAAACGATTTTTAAAAAATTCTTATAAACAATAATAACATAATATAAGCAATATAATATAATAACAATAACAGTACAAGCAATCTCATGACAAAATTCTTTGAAGAATACCCTTTTAAAAGATTTTTCTTTGCAAACTTTGGTATAAATCTTAAGACTTTAATCTGGTCAACATATTTATTTGAATACTCGTATTATTAAATGATAACATTTGCTGGGTACATTTGAAATTGGGTCTTTGGTTTTTTTTTGGAACAGGTAGCGGGCATAATAAAAATATTTGCACAAATGCTGGGGCCGAAAGGTGGAGCTGCCCTGATTGTGTGCGGCTCACGTAGTCGAACCGCAATAAATATTGATGAGCACACAAACACAACATTAAAACATTGTGCGTAAAAGGGACGAGGTCCTTCCAGACTTAGGACCTTATACCACCCACACGTATCCCCTGGCTTCCCCTAATTTGTCTGGCACCCGCAGCAACAGTTAAAGGCAGTAAAATTTAATAACAATAATAATGCTAGTCCAGGAAATTCGAGGACTTCGCTTTATTTTTATGCCAATTGCCGTTTGGGAGTGGGCGCTTTCGGCCCCAGAAAGGTTAGATGCTAAGGTGAAAGCTTTACGGGAATGGCTCGGGAAATATATTAAATATTTACAGCCACAAAGAGGGGAATATGTCTTAAATTACACTCCAGCCAAATCATAGAAGAATGGGTGGTTTCAAGAGTTCGCGAGTTTGTGTTTCCTTTGTGGTTTGTGGTGATTTATCTAATAATCGAAATTAATTCCCAATCACTTGAAGATTTATTTTTTGACAAATTTTTTCATTTTTGCCAAAAGTTTCTTCAATCAAAAATAATAATAACTACAATAAGAATTTTTCAAAAATCATTTTGCTTATATTTTTTATGATTTTTTGAAAATGTTTAGAAACTTGAATTTGAGCCATATTTTTATTTTTTTTTTCATACAAATTTTTTCCGACATTGTCACCTTCAAAAAATCATAAAAAAAACTATGCAAACTATCAATTAGTTGTTCCGAGCAATCATTATGTACTTAATTGGCTTGTTAGGATGTATGTTTATTTATATTAAAGACAAATATCTAATTCAATGAATTACGTTTAGAATTGTCCGCATTGTAGTGTTTTTGTGAGGTAACGTGAGTAGTTGCGTTGTTTAGAGATGGCCTGTAGGCATAGTTTAAGTTTGAGAGCGAGCCACATCTTTGGCAAGATGAGCAGCAGCCCCGTAGTGACAGGACGACGTAATGACCTGGTTTGGAGTATAGTTTTACATCTCCTGGTCCATGTCTTGTGTTTTGAAAAGCTTTGGTTTCTTAGCCTGTGGAGCAAACGTATCATCTACCGTATCCTGGGAATCGCGCTTTAGCAAGGAATTTGCTTTAGACTGTTTCTGTTCCTCCTCGGATTGGCGAAGAGCTTCGGGTGAAGCTTCTTCCTTCAGCTCACGGCCCACCGCCGAAAGTCCCTGTTTGGAGGACACCTGGTCGTCAGAGTTGCATTGTTTTAGTGACAGGCGTAACACTTACCTGCTGATCTGCGTCGATTTTCTTGGGGCATTTCCCGTCATTCTCCAGGCCCTCAACATAGGTGTTCGAAGGCGGTTCCGCCTCGATCTCCGGCTTTTCACCCTTGCCGGAGGTAGTCGCCGTCTCGGGAGCTGCAATTCCGGGCTTCTCGGCCCCGGTGGCTATTGGTGCATCATTTTCCCCCTTCTGGTTGAAGGAGACATGGTTCAAGAGGTCGGGCATGTCGGCCATATTGTTCACGTGTGCAAAGTTTTTGCTGGCTGATTTTTTTTAAAACGTCGTCTCGGTGATCCTTACCGCTGCTGAAAACCACTTAGCACCTTGATCCAACACCCCAAATAGGTTAATTAGGGATTATACAAGTTTTAATGCGCTTACTTTCAGTGGGAACCAATTTCACGTTGCGAGAAAAAAATTTTTTTAATATTCAATATCTTGACTGATATTTGACAGACACTTAGTGTGGTCGCACGCCCCTAAGTTTGCCAGAATCAGTGTTGCCAGATTACTGCGAGTTGATAATCCCTTTGCAAGTCTGGGCACACTTATTATATCAGTTACGATTCTCCAAAGTAATCCCTTAAGTGACTTTTCCTAATCTTCTGCATGGTTTAACAACTTGCAGGATGGTTTTCAGTGGCTACAAGGATTACTGCTGACGGATGGTAGATATCGGAAAAGAGTTTGATTTCAATGGGATCTTCGCAAGGGGGTTTCTGGTGTTGCTGTTGCTAATCAGCCCGATTGAATTTGGTTTTAGTCCAATTATCTTAAAAATTGAGTTTTTGGTTGGGTATAAGAATAAAAATCAAGGAAGGAAGCTAACTTCGGCAAGCCGAAGTTTCTATGCCCTTGCAGGTGGTTCTCGTGGGAGCATTGTATGCTTTCCGATTTTCAAAAAACTAAGAACTAATAAAAGAAATTTCAATTTACTAGCGTGTGTTTACCGAAAACGAAAAATAACGGTTTTTGTATTATTTTGATTTTAATTAATTATCTGGTCGTTCCTATGGCAGCTACATATATGATAAAGTCTTCCGTTTTTAATCAATTTTGTTTGAAATTCTGAAATATTAAAGTAAATATGTCGAATATCACAGAACTTATAATTTTTTCATTTTTTGTAAGGGGGTAGCTCGGTTTTTTTTGGGATTCAGATTTTGGTCAAAAATGGTAATTTTTTAGTGGTTTTTCAGTCGTAGATTAGTTAAATCAAGGCGTACACCTAAAAGACCGGCAGTTTTGAGCAGCTTGCTTCAATTGCTATCGATCCCCATCACTTTAAGAAAGATTTATTTTTTGACAAATTTTTTCATTTTTTTTAAGGGGGTAGCTCGGTTTTTTTTGGAATTCAGATTTTGGTCAAAAAATCTCATTTTTTAGTGGTTTTTCAGTCGAAGTTTATCCAAATCAAGGCGTACACCTAAAAGACCGACAGTTTTGAGCAGCTTGCTTCAATTGCTATCGATCCCCATCACTTTAAGGAAGATTTATTTTTTGACAAATTTGTTCATTTTTTGTAAGGGGGTAGCTCGGTTTTTCTTGGGATTCAGATTTAGGTCAAAAATGCTAATTTTTAGTGGTTTTTCGGTCGTAGTTTAGCCAAATCAAGGCGTACAGCTAAAAGACCGACAGTTTTGAGCAGCTTGCTTCAATTGCTATCGATCCCCATCACTTTAAGGAAGATTTATTTTTTGACAAATTTTTTCATTTTTTGTAAGGGGGTAGCTCGGTTTTTCTTGGGATTCAGATTTAGGTCAAAAATGCTAATTTTTAGTGGTTTTTCGGTCGTAGTTTAGCCAAATCAAGGCGTACAGCTAAAAGACCGACAGTTTTGAGCAGCTTGCTTCAATTGCTATCGATCCCCATCACTTTAAGAAAGACTTATTTTTTGACAAATTTTTTCATTTTTTTTAAGGGGGTACCTCGGTTTTTCTTGGGATTCAGATTTAGGTCAAAAATGCTAAATTTTTAGTGGTTTTTCCGTCGTAGTTTAGCCAAATCAAGGCGTACAGCTAAAAGACCGACAGTTTTGAGCAGCTTGCTTTAGTTGCTATCGATCCCTATTACTTTAAGGAAGACTTATTTTTTGACAAATTTTTTCATTTTTTTTTTGGAATTCAGATTTTGGTCAAAAAATCTCATTTTTTAGTGGTTTCTAAGTCGTAGTTTAGCCAAATCAAGGCGTACACTTAAAAGACCGGCAGTTTTGAGTAGCTTGCTTCAATTGCTATCGATCCCCATCACTTTAAGAAAGATTTATTTTTTGCCAAATTTTTTCATTTTTTGTAAGGGGGTAGCTCGGTTTTTTTTGGAATTCAGATTTTGGTCAAAAAATCTCATTTTTTAGTGGTTTTTCGTTCGTAGTTTAGCCAAATCAAGGCGTACAGCTAAAAGACCGACAGTTTTGAGCAGCTTGCTTTAATTGCTATCGATTCCCATCTCTAAGGAAGATTTATTTTTTGACAAATTTTTTCATTTTTTGTAAGGGGTTAGCTTTTTTTTTTTTTTTGGAAATGGAAGGAAAATCTTTTTTTTTTAACAATTCCAATTTTTTATCGAAGTTAACATCACATTTTTTTGCGTAAATTGACAAAAATGGCAATGAATTGGAAATTAAACTATGAGCTCAACGAGGTATGACATCCCTGATTCTGACCATTTAATGCATTATATCGGCCAAAAACAAATGTTAGTCAAAAATGTTATTTTTTTTTGTGGTTTTTCAATCGCTGTTTAGTAAAATCAAGCCGTACAGATAAATAGCGACTGTTCTAAGCAGCTTGCTATTTTATTTAAACACCAAACCAAAATAAAAACTTTTGTTAGGGAAAAATAACCCTAAACGGTTGAATTGCTAAATTGTTGAAAATTCTACAGAAGATTTTAGCTATTGAGGGAACGACTCTAAATGGCTCCTGTTGAATTTTCAAACAGCTGTGACCAGTTTTCAAATTATTCGGAAGTAAGAACACGAAATATTTTAGTGTAAGTAAATATAGTTATTAATAAGGTAAAATAAAATATAAAATACACTTTCTTAATTGATTCTAAAATAAATATTGCTTACTGGCGATACTAAAATGTTACAGAGTTGCCATGGCTTTTTAAAGAAATAGGGTGACAACTCTGGTTTTCAGCAGATAGGTTTTATCGAACGACCATCGCTAACGCAGCAAGCAAGTTCTTGAAAAATTTTACGTCTGACAATTCAGTTCGACATTTGGCATTAATAATTTTGGTTCGAAGCTGTAAACATCTAATCTTGATTAATAATTGTTTCTTATACGATGCCACGTCGGTCGAAAGTCGAACTTTATACTCCCACGAAGGGCCAGAAGAAACGCAGAAGGAATTCCGAGTGTTTTGACAGGTAGGAACGGAGCAGATATTTTCATTTAAAGCTGAACAACTAGAATGTTCTGCGTCCTTACACTTGGGTTTTCGTATATTTATTTCCGATATTTAGGGCGCTGCCTGTAGAAGTTCCATTGCAAGCAGACACCCAGGAACTGCATTCGTCCTGGTAAGCCATCTTTAGTGAATTAGGCAAATAATTCAATTCTTAAAACCCATTTTAGTGCCCCGTTTTCAGAAACGTGGCCCGACATTTTATGCCTTGAAGGTGGTGTAGTGTTACATTTTGGCATAAAATCCGACGCTGAGCTTATGCCACCTCCAAAATCATGTTTTGTCCCGAAGGCCCGACGTAAAATGAATGCTGTACAGTCGCACGATGAAATAATCGAAAAGCCAGTTGTGAAAACGCACCTAAAAGATTTTACGCCAGAACGTTTGGTATCAATCCCGCCCCGACCCAAAAATGAGGCTGCAATTGAGGAGTGGCTGCAGCTATGCAGTGTGACCATTTCCGACCAACTGCTACTTCTAGTAATTAAGGAGAGTGCCAAGCCCGTTGAATTTGAAGACGAGGTACCCAAGGAGCACATGAAGCCCCAAAGTTCTGGAAAGTATGGGATCGTAGTGGGTGCCGCGAAAAGCCCTTGGCATGTTAGATACCTACTTCGCAACGGAGACTTGGAGAAGAGTATCGATCATTATGTGTGGAAGTACAAGGATCCCGAGGCCGAACGACTTCTTTCCCAGTGGAGTGAGCTATATGGCTCCGAGTCGGCGCATGAGTTGAATAGAACGTTGGTGCTTGCGCCCTTGCCAGTTCGTCAGAGGCAGAGCCTCCAGAAGTCATGGATTCTAGGACGTCCCGCTGAACGCCAAGGCGAGTCCTTGCGCATGCGCATAAATATGCAGGTCTGCAGACTGTTTTGTACCCTGCAGATGCACAGACCTGTGGATCTTGAGATGGCTGTGAAGAGCCTCGACAATGCTGTCTACAGAAGCGACGTAGGAGTCATCGAAGTTCGCTTCGAGGCACCCCAGATAGGCTGGATTTGGGCCAACGGCACAGTCATGATTGTAAATGGTGAAAGCAAGGACGTTTTAGCCGAAGCCCTACAGGATATAGTGGCAAAGACCATGGGCAAGGAGAATTTCCAGCTCGAGCCTGGCCATAGGCTACTACACTTGCGTCTCTATTCCGGCGCCGATTTCCCCTGGAGCGTTGATGTGCAGGAGTTCAGTAGGGCCCACGCTCTTTCTTGGGATCTACGTCCCCATGACATGAACTTTGTCCACTATGTGAACCAGAACATTCCCGGAGTAGCAGCTAGACTCTATGACTCGGGAACGCTCCAGGTATTTGCCATGACCCTGGCTGAAGGAGACGAGATGCTGAAGCAAGTCTACCTGCTTTCGGACAGTTATCGAAAGCCCTAAACCGAAAATGTTAAATAAAGAATTCATTTTCATAAGTCTTATGTGGAAATATTAATGAATGAATGTTTCAGATTTTAGTCAAATATCGTAGTTGACTTCCCTCCAAATTAAGGGAATTAAGCAAACAGACGGACTTTTTTGGGCAGCTTGCTACCCATGTTAACGATGCCCATTATTTTAGGGAAAATTTATTTTTAAACAATTTTTGCTATTTTCAAGAGGCGTTCCTTTCCCGGAGTTGGCAAAAATAAATAATTACGAGGTTTGAATGCCAATGGATTGGAAATTAAGTTACATGTCCTACCAAATATCTTATCTTCACTTTGGTTACTTTATGATCCACCCTCTAATTGAAATCACACAACTCAGGTGCGTGAGTGTCTATGTGGGCTTTTTTCTGTCTGTCTTTTTACTTAGGGGTTCATTTAGTTGGCAGTTTCTCTTATGGGTTTACACTCAATCTCTTAGGACACAAGGTCCTCCGCAAAATTCACCCACTCCACAAAATTTAATAGAAATCAAGTTGCGCCAAAAAAAAGGCAGTGTTTTTTGTAAATTTTTACTTGGCAGGATATTCGAGAGTTTCCCTTTTAAGAAATATTTAAACTACTGCGGAAACAGTGGAAAGTGATAGAAGAGCCGACCACAATTAATTTGCGGCCAAGCTGCAATTGATAATTATCGAAATAATTGATGTAATTGGCCGCGTTTGACCAAAGCGAATCCCACAATCAATGTCGCCCCAACCGCACGTTGTGTGGCGACAGGAGTCGTCTTATTATGTGCACTGGAATAAATATTAGATGCTATTTCACTGAAATCACTAGCAAAGGTTCCCAAAAGTATACTGAAACATTTTTTAAATGAAGCAGCCCCATATATTAAATCCGAAATATATTTTTACTTCAATATTCTGAAATTAATGATAATATGATACATATCATGATACTTATCATTTTACTGTGAAACAAATATTGGATGATAAACAACAAAAGGATATATTTCACTATAAAACGCAAGGGACCATATCATTTGGGTTCTTAAAATTACAAAGGTGTCTAAAAGTATGCTGTAATACTCATAATTAACCGTCATAATTATCATTTTACTGTAAAACAAATTTTGGATGATAAACAACAAAGGGATCAATTTTACTACAAAAACGCGAAGCACTATATCATTTGGGTTCTAAAATTACAAGCAAAGGTGTCTAAAAGTATGTCAAAAAATATTTTTTATTTTTTTCTTCACAATCGAATATCCTAATTATTTTTTAATTAATAACATAAATCATTTTACTGTGTATGGTGGTTTGGTAAAGGGGGCTCGTAAAGGGGTTTATAGGGCGATATAGCGTCTGCAACTGCATAGCATTTAAATTTGATTTTGCTTTCTCAGCAGTTGTCCTACTGATATAAGCAGTAATCATAGAAGGGTTGCGTTGCATGGGCTCTAGAATTGGATATCGAATATACGGGGAGTTAAATGACTCTGGCTCCCTTGTAACACACTTAACATGCAACTTGTGGTCGGTGGACACTTGTCTCTAATGTCTTAAATGAAACGTGAAGGCTAACCGCTGCAAATACAATTGGCAAATCTTTGTTATTGCCAACAAACAACAAATTTTAGTTTTCGTTGAGCTTTCCAATATATTTATACCAATTTATATTCTTTAAGATATATAAGGATAAATTTTATTTTAAGTGTCTAAAAGTATGCTGTGAATAATAATAATCATCTTTCTGAAAGAATTCATAACAAAATTACTTTAAAACATGATTTCAAAACCCGATAGCATTTCTTTTTACACTTGTACCCATATTTTGTAAGTGAAGTCATGGTTCTTGCGATGAAAACATAGCAACATTTTTTATGAGTCAAATGGCATTTCGAACCTCAGTTGTGAAAATCTGCGATAAATCCGTCGGATGCTCTTCAATTTTTAAGCTGCCCAGCGAAATCCTTCGCCTTTGCCCCATTCCGCCCACTTGCTTAAATGCATTTTCTAGCATTTTCCTCTCCATATGCGAGTGATTTTCCCCGGCGAGCAAAGCAAAATAAAAGAGATTTCAGTTAACAAGTTTTAGTCTCTTCATATGCTTTGACAAATCCTTTGGCTGCGGCAAGGACTAAGAATGAAATTTGTCTTCGGACAGGACAATTGCTGGCCCAGCTAGCCCGGCTGGCCGGGAAAAATAAGGAAAAATCAAGGGAAGGTGCTGGAAAAGGCATTGAGTGGAAAGACGTGTTGGCCAAAAGGTCCTTTTGGTGGGAGAAGGGGGTTAAGTGTGGCAGCATCAGGACAACATGTTGTTGCGGCACCAAATCCTGGGCTCTGATTACAAAGTAAGCCGTTTACTTTGCTGTATCCTCGCTTGTAGTTTTGCTTTATACAATCAGCTTGCTCCGAGAACACCATGAATATAGTTTTATAAAGGAATAAATAAACCCTAATGGGATAAGAAACTGCAAGTTAAAAATGAGGAGAGTAAACACACATATTATTTCGCTACTGCGACTTAACTAAACCAAGTTTTAGAGAATAGTCTTTTTATCTTTGTGAACTTTTTATTAAGAATACATAGAATAGAATTTACCTGTATGTATCTTGCAAGTTTGATACATTTTTTTTTCAATTATTTTCCTGGCTTAAGTCTGAGTGCTTGGATTAAGTGCACCTTTAGGTTATTTTGTTGGTACCCCTGCAGCCTTCTCGATTTTTCCCAGGACTACGAGTATCCATCGGCTTGGCAAACGTGTCACTTCCTGTGGCCGTTCAACACCGTCCCGCATTTTCCTATCGGCGGAGAGTGCTTTGTTGTTCTTTTGTGACTTTATTATAAACAAATAGGAGTAAAAATTTCCTTGGCTCTCAGCGAGCTTCTATCGCCTGCTGACAATGACAAGGCAGAACACTGGATGCACACACAAAAATAAGGCACTGGCCCAAATGAATTGGTATTCGCCTTAAAAAATAAGTTTTACACAGTCTGTCAAAATACTTTTAAACTACTTATTGCATGACGCACAAATCAACTCTTTTAAACTTTAATGAAGATAAATCTATAAATTACTATAAAGGAGGAAGTATTCCACATTTTCTGGACGATTGGGATACATCGAGTTCGGCTTGACTTAAAAATCTGAAATTAAAAACCGAAATTAGAAAGTATTATTATACCTTGCTAAAATTAAGTAAAAGCAGTATTGATTTAAGAACGATTTAATTTTCACCTTTTTAAGACCGTTCGTACTGAAGATATTATTATATTGAGCACATTTTGGATTTAAATATCTTTCATCCCTAAAAATTCCCAACTGTTTATTCCGAAAGTGCTCGGTATATAAGGCACATAAACTACGCAGCGTTAGTTAAACTTATAAGATTAATGTAATTTTTATATATCTCGTTTATCTATTTTTAGTTTTCAGTTCTTATTTCTCTTACTGGCACATTATTAAAGGTCAATTTAAATTTACAGTATATGAATATAGATTTAAGAATTGTTTGTTCTTATATCATGCATGCAACATTCTTATTTTATCAATAAATCGTACTTATTTTAAGTACAAATATACCTAGGTTTAAGAATAATTCATACTTAATTGTAGACCGAAAGGTTCTAACAACATACTGAAATCGAGTATTACAAAAAGTCGTACTTGAAAGATGTTCTTTGTTCTCGAGATAAGGATTTTCATAGCTTGGTGAAGTTTTGACACTGAAATTACTTGATTCAAGCTCGAAATACTTGATTTTTTCTCTGAGTGTGTATATTCATTTTCTATCTTTAAATATGTTTAGTATTATGTAAGTCTTTGATGTTTAAAATGATATAGTATTTCTTATAGAATGAGATATATTTCGATTAATACATATTTTCCCTTGCATAAATTAAGAAGTAAAATACTTTTTGGTATTAAAAATGCGTACTGCTAACATTTTTTTCCAGTGTATGGACAGAGGGCGGGCAGGGGGCGGTGCCAAGGCGCTGAGAGGATGCAGGGCAAAGCAAAATATTGTCGCCTGCAATAAATGCCAAGCATCCGCTGCGACAAGAAGAACCGGAGCGTCGACAGGAAGCGACCGAACCACCAACCGCCATTATGAATGCAGCGCCATTTTGTGTTGGCCCCTTTCCGCTCTATCTATTCATCTATGTGTGAGTGTATGTGTGTTTAAGTATACGTGTCTGTGTGTGTGTGTGTGTGTATTATACCCCCCGATGCGTATACGATAAATAATGCGACTTGGCCATTTTCATTGCCCGCCTCTGGGTTTTATGACTTTTTTGGAGATACAACTTTAAAGTTTTAATATTTAAAGTTGAAATATTATTAGTACAAACAGGGGTTACGCCTAATAAAAATATTACAAACGATTCTTTACGAAATTCCTTTCTTTCAATTGATTGCTTTATGTACAGAATTTTCAATAATATAGCTCAAACATGTTAGGGAAACAAGGGAAATAAAAATACAACAAAAACTAAAACTAAAAATTTAAGAAATTCTGCAAAATTTATAGATTCCTAAGTTTACATATTCCCAGTGCAGCACCAAAGGAAAAATCTTAGCAAAAATCTGTCAAGTTAGACTATGCATTACTCATACGCCCCATGGGTTTCATGAGGAAATCCCCCGACCCATGAATAAAAACAGCACCCGCCCCATGACAACCAACAAGTTTAATTAAAACATAAACTAAAAGCATAAACAAATGAATAATTCACATTATGATGAGATGCACGCCCCACGTGAAGGACGCTCCAGTGGAAACCATCGAAACCAAACACTTATCCTGACCGCAACTAGACAAAAAAATTTGCATTAGCAACAACACAAAAAAACGACAAAAACGACAAAAAACCCAGCAAAAGGGAATTTTTTGGCTTTTGGTTTCGTTGGTGTGACTTTTATGCAAATGGAAAGAGAAATATGAAATTTCGTTGCATAGTTTTGGGCGCACATTTAAATTGGTGCGGATCAACCTTCGC